CCAGAAGTACAGAGGATGGGGTGAGAGGAGTCACCAGAGACAGAGTAGGGAGCAGAACAGGCAGATGGACTGAATACACTGCTGAGGGGAGCAGCGGGCGGGTCAGGAGAGGTCTGCCATGTCATGTGGGTCACCCCTCCTCCTCCCCCGATCAAACTTGTGTTGCAGTGGATTCAATAGCCTCTTAGTGCTGTGTTTTAACATGTTGCACCACCAGGAAGGGCCCTGTTTACCACTTTTAGTGAAGGCTGTTATTTACTGAAGACTTGTATCCAGTCTGCTTCTCACAGACAGATGATGACTAGATCAGGAATGCAGGGCATTTATTGGGAGAAGAGAGTATGATGCCTATGAGGGATAATAGAATCTGGTTTGGGCTGGTTTTTAGAGTGATATTGATTTTGATGCTTATGAAAGGAAATGGGACAAGAAAGATTGGGCATAAAAAGCTACAGTTATGATAAAATCTCAATCAAACTATCAGGGGCTACAAGAGCAAAGAGTGTCCACTAGATGTATTTCTAATTGGCTAGAAATGGCCCACATGACATCCTCCCATCATCATTCTTTGGCAGGGGTTGTGTAAGAACAGTGTAGCCTTGACTCACAGGCTGTGGTGGTTCCTCAGGGCCTGCCCACTGGGGTTGTCAGCTTAAGACACCCCTTACAAGTGAAAGTCTAGTTCTTTCTTAATGAGATTACATTTCAGTGGCTGCTACACTACTTTTTCAGTAAAATATTAAAATTGAAATTATATGAAATAATCAGTTTACTACAAAAGTTACTGAAACAAAATCCTTTATAAATTCTGAATTTAGTGTTGTAAATTCTGAATTTAGTGTTGACAGACTTACATTATTTGAGTGTATTATTTATCACTTTTTCGTATGTTAAATATGCATAATGACCCCTATGTCTACCTCATAAAGTTGCAAAAAAAAAAAAAAAAAAGGTAACATGTATCTAAGAAATGTGAGAAAAAAATTAATATCATGTGGAAATACAATTGGCAGTACCTACCATCTCTACTCCCAGCACATTCTAACCAAGGCCCTGGTTTTCCTTCTGTTATTT